TACCCACGAGTTGTTCGTATTGTATGGCATAATATATAGGTACTTAAATAATATATTAACTCTATTTGTTATACTTTAAAATATCTCACATACTTACTACAAGGTGATTCACCAAGCGCGCTCACTCTCATTTTTCCATTAATAATTTATTTATTCAAATTCGGATATTTATAATTTTTAATTTTACCACTTACAAAGTCCGTATTTTCAAAAACATAGTTTTCAAACCATTTACGGATTACTCTCTATGTCAATACAAATTATTTTTTTTTCCAATTAAGAAACACAAAATTTTACTGTAAATTGGTAAGCCGATTATTTATTTTTGAGGTACGACTATAGAAAGATACACAAGGTGATTCACCATGCATGCTCATTGCTCACCCTAATTCTTCACTTTAAATATAATGAATAAATTCAAATTCTGATTCTTGAAATTTTTAAATATATTTAAAGGCAATCTTTTAAAATTTAAAATTTTGTTTTACTATACTTAAAAAGTGTCCTGTGTAAGTGAATAGGTTAAGCTGGTTGAGGTAATAGTCAATTTCAGAATTATTTAACTTTAATATGTTGATACTAAGAATATTATTCAATGGTAATAGATTTAAAGATCTGTGTTATGAATTATGATGATGCGATGATTTGAAAATAATTATAGTAGGTACCTACCAAATTAATAATATTTACATATTAGTATTTTATATTGGCAACAATTATTGTCTGAGTTAAAAAATTACTTGACTAAATACCTATTATATAATATAATTTTATATTTGATGTCAAATCATTATTAAGGATTATTATTTATTACCCTTAGCACATAAAATGTAGTAATTTGATAACTAATCGTTAACATTTTGATTTGCATACTTGATACGTCAACATTTAAATACAAATTGTATTCTCTACAATTTACAATTGTGGTTATTAATTTAAAAAACCGTTGATATGCGCCAATAGACATTATTTAAATGGTAGGTACATCTTATCCTAGACACACCAGAATTCCCAAAACATAAATTTTAATAAATGCGTTGTCAAAGGATAAAAATCTTAGAGTGCTTGATGAGTCACTATCCGTATCTATGAGGAAATAATAAGCGTGATCATAAATTTGTATTACAGTAACCTTAAGATTTATAGTACAAAAACTCGATTATATTATACACTATTAGAATATGATTTTATTAGGTATACCTACGTAGGTATCTATATAATTTCATTAGTGTTTTATTTATTACTGTCGTGAATTAAAAACTACTGACGGTCAGATAGATATTTTTGAATTATAGCGAAATCGACTATGTATAGGATTTTGCTTTACATCAGTATATTATTCTTTTTGATTTTTCTGTTTGTTCATGAATAATAAAGAATAGAATAGTATTATAAATTTGCATAGGGCACGAGGTTTGCTGTGTGCAATGCACAGTATATATATTATTTGGAATATAGACGATATCCAAATATTATAGGCGATATACATAATATACATAGGATATTCGTAAAAAAATCTCTGTCTCAAGTATGCAGAAAATAGTAAATAGTATAGCTTGCGGTATCAATTTATTACTTGTGTAAATGCATGTAAACACTGTACAGAAATAGTTGCTCTGTTTCATACTTGCCGGTTTCATCAATTTTATCAACGTCGCATCGGGGAAATAAAAACTTCTCCGTAAATTATCTTCAATTACATGACGTCTTTTGTTCAAACAAATATTTGGATTGCTATTCTTACGAACAATTACTCGTACATAAAATGCATGTTAAAAAAAAACTGTATACTATACTGCAGAACACTGCTGCACCATTTAAACTATACATAGGTATATAGTATTATGCATTTTGTTATTAAACGTGCGATGCGTAAGGACTTAATGTTTTTTTTTCTAATTAAAACTCGGATAATGGATTTATATTTAAAGAGCTTATAATGTTGGAGTCAGTGTGTGCTTACGCGGTGTTTAGTTATGGTATTATTAATTAATTAATGTGTATGCATTTTTTTTTATTTTTTTTTTCCTTGTTTTTTTATTTGCAGCGGTAAACTAATTTCGATTTGAGTGCGTTGATATTAAATAAATCTGCCTACCTCGGTAACCTATACGCTTACGTCTGTCGTCCGCGTAGGCACTGCAGGTAATCGAAAAATCAACTTTGTAAAAAAAAAAAAAAATGTTTTATTATATAATATTATAGTCACGTGATGGCTTATTTGTCCGAAGGTTTCGATCCCTAAAATCTATATTTGGTGGTAGGATTTAATGAATTTGAATTTTATGCTTTTGCATAATGGCGGAAAACTATAAGTGAAAACTAAATAACAATCGCATAGACAATGTCGTCAAGCCTTATAGATTTCGAAAAATACAATTCAGTTACATAACTCAACTACTGTGTACCAATATTTTATCGAGAACGCCGACAGCGTATTTGGAAATGAGAGAAAATAGAATAAATACATACCTAATATTATTGTATATGTTTTTGGTACCAAGATATAATATAACTGCAGGTAGGTAAGCACTCAGACTAATGCATAGTATTTATTTAGTGTAATATGTTTATTCATTCGATGCATCAATTCTATTTATATTATTTAGAAATTTGTGTTCATTTTGAAAAAGGTCATGGCATGTTTATTCACACATTTTAAAAGCTGCATGTAGACCGTTTGTGCGCCCATAAAATTAAAATCGTTGTAAGTACAACAGGTCACACTATTATTTTACAAGGTTTTCTCGGATTATTAAAACCTATCCTGCAGTGTTCATCTATTATTAAACTATACGGAAACGTTAAAATACGACCGAGAACGCTCAATTTATATAATTTTACCGACGTTGTCATATTTCATAATTTTTTTATCGAACGGTTGTACCCACTCTATTTTTGTCACGGGTCCAGATAAATAGCGAAAATCAACTTTCAAATGCATTTAAAAAGATCAACGACCATCGAAAGTGGCGTAAATCGTTTTTTAGTCTGCGATATTTTTAAGTCATTACCAAGCAGAAGTCGTAAATGCGTCTTTAGAGTTAAAGAGCTATGATAAGACAATGTAAAAAAAAAAAGAATTAAACGTGCTGAATCCTTCGATATAGCCAATTAAATGATACGGCGCCAAGTTGCGCGTAAATTCGTTCTCGACCTTTATTAGTTTTTTGGGCGAGTGGCGAGTTTTTTTTTTTACGAATTTTAAGTGTTTTCGGCCAAAAAGGTAAGACATTCTCAACCGTTCAGTAGCTTGCGGAAATACAATAAATACTAATATCTAAATAATGATCGTGACTCCGAACACGTGAGTCGCATAAACTGTTTATTCCTACCAAGGACGTGTGCCTTTTATATATAGGTGACTTTGTGCATCCTATCTTAACGTGACGATCTGTGCGTAATCCTATCGGCAAACGGGCGGCACATGTCGGAAGGCCGGAGATAATTAATTAGACTCTATAATATATTAGCAGTAGGTATAAGACTATAAATAAAATATGCACTCGCGAAAGATGATGCAAAGACATTTGATTATAGATGGAGATTTGAAGCTGGGATTTCGTCATACTGCAAAATACTATAATATTATTATACATAAGGAGTAAACACTAACGAATGTGACCCTCTATCCAAAAAAAAAAGGTTCATAAGATTGTCCGACGAAATGAATTTTGGCTACCCTGCAGGTAAGATAGGCCGTTCCATTATCATTGCGACTTTATATTATTATGGTATATTCGCGATGAGTTATATGACGTAACAGTAATATTTTCCGGTAAGAACAGTTTTCGCTTCACCGTCTGCAAGTATATATTAGAAATTAGATACCTACCTACCTAAAGTGCAGTGAAAGTCATAAATCATAATATTCATTAGATCCCATATAAACCAGCCCTATAACAATTTCACTATTATTTTCACACGGCACGATTGAGCGCACAGAACGCCTTTTTTTTACTACACGATTGAGCCAATTTGCTGCAGGCGTATCGAAGGATAGGTACAAAAATACAAAAGAAAATCTTTTCGATTTATCATAAAAATATAAAAATACTGCGTGCCAGATGGCAAGGTTAAACAATCGAAAACTTTTTTTTTTTAAATAATTACCATAATACAAGTGTGAAATGAATTAAAACATATTACGAACTGTTGATTATGATATTAATAATTAATAATCAGGCCATGTTATGAGTTTACGACTTATCGATAAGTTACTAATAGACGACCAACACTCACTTTGTTTATATTTTCAACTGAATTATTTCTATTATAATTTGAGAATTATTACTCATCTTCACAACTGCCCTGTTGAATGTTTGAATGAGTTCGTCTCGTTCGTAACGGTCAGTAGGATTGTCACGGATAAAACTAATATTGCGATCATTTCAACAGATATTTTATTGCAGCACCACCTTAATAATCGAAAAGCAATTCGATAAGTGCACATATTAAGATAATATAGGTGGTACTACAGTAGGCGTGTTTTGGCCGAGTAAACTGTTTAGTAAATAAGTTTAAGGTTATGGAAATATGGAATACGGTTAGAAAACGTTTACTGGAACGCCAAAACAATTGCTTGAACATTTTGTTTACTGAAATATTTGATAACATTTGATATCATAAACTTTTTAGTAACCGAACCTCAGTAAACCTTCTTACCAAGTCGAAATCGACGGTTACAAAATTCACTAAACTCGTTCACGAAATTAGTTACCTGGTTACAGTGACCGTAATCGCGAAAACGATTTAAACAGTTTACTAGCGGTCAGCGCCGGTTACACCGCCAAAACACACCTATTGTTACATAATATTTTAAACAGTAGGTAATAATAGGATGAGCCATCTAAGTCTCCCCTCAATTCATGTCTATGAATATGTAGTGGGTACGTGAAAATCATAATTTATAACATTTCGGCAACGTCACTCAAAATATTCTATAATTGCTCAATCGTGTCGCTGAGAAGGTAAATCCGCAGTCGTCGTATTGTGATCGATCATGTTTTACAGACTCGCGCGCATATACGACGACCACGCGCGACACCGTACAGGCCCAACTTCGTACAAGACAGCGGGTGGGCCACTGCAGCACTATACTGGCTTACCTGGCACGTGAGCCGAGTCCGGTTCCGGCGGCTCTGGTTGACCGCGTTGATCAGAAACCAGTTGAGCACGGCCAGCACAAGCAGCGGTACGCATATGAACGTTACGATGCAAAACCAGTTGTACGCCTTCTTGTAGATGTCGTTCCGGCCCAGTTCCGTGCTGCTCTTCTGGAACTTGCCGGTGGCCGCGTTGATGGCTATGTGCCACTCGTGCGGCGTGGTGGCCGTGCACAGGATGCAGAATAGCGCCACCATCAGGATGACGCGCTTGGCCCGGGACTCGGTGCACAGCACGCGGCCGCGCAGAGGATGGCACACGGCTATGTACCGCTCGACGGTGAACGATACCGTCAACAGCACCGACGTGTTACCTGCGAACAAATCACAGGTGGTTAAAAAGAAAAATTATGAGAAGTATTTTTCCAACACGAAATTTATATTATTGAAAACTCCCTGCCTCTACGTCATTCACTTTCGACCAATTCCCGAATAAATACTGATCAAATCTATCGACGAATTGATTTTAATTTGGGTCAATTTTTAGTGTGGATATAATTTTATTTGTCACAGAATATAGGTATTGTCCATTATAACAGCAACTCTATGTCTGTTGTCTATATCATATAACTTATAATTTTACTGTATTAGTGTGTTACCCAACTTCGCCCGTGTTAAAATTAATCAATTTTTCTATCGTTTTCCGGTTTGATTCAGTAGTTGAAATATTCCAAACACAATAGTCAATAACAATCATTAGTTTTATGATTTATCACTTCTTCATAATTAATAGTTGTTATGGACATATTTTTTATGTAAACACAAAAAACTGGATGCTCAAAAGCCGACGTAAATAAGTTAATATTAGTATTTTGTATTTACTCTTAATGTGCTAAAATCAAAAATATGTTAAAAATTAAGAAACAGATCATAAAAAAATCATTGTCAATCGGCTTCAAAAGTAATTGATTTAAAAAAAATAAGCAATAGCCTATAGATTATAGACACGCCCCAAGTCTTAAGGAATCTATTACCCTTAGGCCTTAGGTAATTTTTTATTGAAAACGGTCCAATAGTTTTTGAGTCTGGAGAGGACTAACATTCGTTTTTATTCAACAGTGTGAAAAAAACATTAACGTTAAAGATTAAAGATCTTAAATATAAGAAGGTTATCTCCCAAATGTTTTATTATTATTATTTATTTATTTTATTTTCTCTGTTTGTCCTTAGCTTGTGCATGACAAGCTAAAAAGGTTAAATAAGCTTATCATGCCATATTGTTTTGTAAAAATCAACCTCTCAGATATAAAAAAAATTAGCAATTTTACTGGATTTATATAATATTTTTACATCATAGGTATATATATTAATATATAGACCCAAATTATAGGGAATCAGCTATATCTATCAAGTATTTTGATATATCTGCCGCAGTTACATATTGTATCATACATATAAAATAATATTATATATTGGATATAAATGCGATGTGAATCAGTGGCATGTTTAATTTTTTTTTGTAAAAGGCAGATATTATTTTATTTTATTTTTATGAACCATGTGATGCAATTAAAAAAATTATAGTTGAAGAATGCACACGATGAAGCAGTTAGTACCGTAATAGTATGTGTACGCCTAACCTCATATATTAATCTTTATTTTGTTGGCAGCGCTAATGAAACATAATATCAAAGTGAAAAAATAGCTTTAGGGTTCTGAGTATAAGCGATTTAACTATTAACGAATTATAACTTAATAGTAGTAATTAAGGGTCTATTTAATTATATTATTAAGTGAGAAACAAAATTCGACATTTATTGTTTGTAGAATTATTTTTTTACTATTTATTTTATAGTTTAAAATCTATTTTGATGACTATATTAGTATATTTTTTTATGATTATTAAACATTCACATATTGAATTATGTTGTATCTTATATTTATAAAAGTAAATAAAAAACAAATTACTTGACGGAATAGTGGAAATGTGTTAAATAGATAAATGTAGACCGAAACATTTAAAAAGTTAATTATAATATTAACATTTTTTCTGATTAATAATTTTTAAATAAACAATACACCAAGGGTATGAAAAAAATTTAAAAATATTCTACTAAAAAAACTTTTGTATTATATTATATATATAGAAGTATAATATATATTATTAGATAAACTGAATTAAGTATGAAATTTGTAATAATCTCACTCTAAAACACAATAATTGCATAAACCAAATTAATAATTAACAAAGTACTAAATAGGTATATGATAGGTGCTTATATTAAAATTATTAATACAATGTTAGATACCTAATACCTACAGAATCTTCAAATAATTAATACCTCGAATACACATAACATTGAAACCTTGTTTTTATTAGGTTTATTTTGTTTTATCATCTTTCATGAAATTGATGCATTTTTGTGATTACTTTTTCGTTTACTAACATTAAAAAAAATATATATTTTGAACAGTAAAAATGAAAAAAATAACTAAACATAATTAAAAAATAACACTTGAACTTTGGAGATGTATAATTGATAACATTTAGCGATCTTTTTTTTTTCTTATATATTTTCAATAACTCATTTCGAGTTGAATTAATATTATAGCTATAGGGTGCTAATCACAATAACAACATAACATAATATTGACCATGTTAAATGTTTTTTTTACGTTTTTGTATGATACCAAAAATGACTTGTACCTATTTAAAAATTCATGAATTTATTTATAAAATTTATTTAGATAATTATACTTTTTTAAACCTCTGATAATAATTTTTTATAACTATTATAATATGTTGACGTTAGTTGGACATGTTAGAAATAAAACGTGTAAAAGAAACATTAAGTTATTGATCCATGTCATTTTTTCAATAAGTGTTCATTTTAATATTTATTTTATTCATAATACAGAGGAGTAGCTGGTAAGTAGGTATATACTAATGATCATAAAATATTGAAAAGCATTAGATTTATAAAAATGAACAGTGACTCATTATATCATTTAATCATTTGAACTTCCTTTATTCGCTACTATTCACCAAATATGAAATGTACATTCAATTTCACAATGTAGATCATTTGGTATGATTAGTCTTAAGAGTTATAGTCACGATTACTAGGGACGACATTATATACGTGGTTTAGGTATTACATCTATATTGATTTTTAAAAGTTAAAGTACATCACGTTTAATAAAAAATGTGTACGCGTAAATCTATTTGACTTTTTTTTTTATTAGATTCGATAAAATATATCATTTTTTACATGCAACAATGCAACAGTGTAATTTAATTTAATGAACAATAATTACATACATAATACAAGTATTAAATATAATAGTTACCTACTGCTAATTGTATATTTCTAATGTAATATACCAAGAACAGTTTATATTTCTTATATACTTGCAACTTTTCTGATTTCAAGTTAAATAATAATAAACAAATCAAAACAAAAAGATTTGTTAATTTAAAATGAACAAGGACCTTGCAAGTCTTAAAGTCTTCTCTGATATACCATTAAAAGCCAGTGTCATTTTTAAACTTTAAAGTTATTTACAATTTGACGAAAATCAGATTCTTCATAAATGAGGAATATATAAATGTATTATAAAACAATATATCTATTTATATTAAACATTATTATACCTATACGTACTTACATTATACCTGGTGGTGCACTGGTGCTCCAACACAATTTTATGCGTCAAATTATTATTTTAATATAATTTATTGTGGTGACACTGAGACTGACACCAGAGAGCACAACCTTAGACACATAGTGTTTTTCTATTCACCGTTACACATTTCGACATTTAGTTCACCCCGTTTTACCATAATACTATTATTTGTATAAAATATAAATGATTTATAAGACACTTTCGAGGCTTTAAACGAAAAAAAAACAATGGTAAATTTGTGCACTGTGGCACCTTGCATCAGTGTATTACGAGAAAAGATAATTTTCGTGTGCGAGTAATCATCACCTAAAATATTTACGAGTTATAAATATTTTAGATAATAATTACTACCCATAAACAAAACGTGCCATCGTTTAAGTGGTTTCCGACACGCTGGTACATATACCTACCGTGTTCACGTCGTATTGTTTGTGCACTGGGCAAGATAACCAACACCGAAGAACCTAGAAAATGTTACTCGGGGTACGACCTTTTCCGAGGCAAACTGCAGAGCAGTGTGCTATATTAAATAATGCATCTGATACACATCTAGATAAAACGCCTCGCTGTTTAATTCTGCGCATTTACACAGCAAACAATAATTTAACCGGGCCCTAAACTGAAGTGGAAATTCAAATTTAACCCTTTCACTGCTACGGACCACGGCGACTAGTATTACTCCATTACGTCGCGCGCAAACATACCGTTAAACTGTTCCCGGCCTGCCACGGACGTAATATTATAATATGAAGTATATGTATGCCAACTATTAGGAATTACAAATTGCGTTAATTTGTCCACGAAATAAAATACGTGGCTATTATTAGCTCGGCGATATTTTACCCAAAAATACAGAAAAAATTTAATTCCCAACAAAATGTAGCGTGTTTCTATATAGATATTATTTCATCTGCAAGGAAAATAATTGAGTTATTATAGATAATATGACTTTGTGTATACTGCGGTGGAAAAATATCTATAGTAAAATATTATGCTACATTTTGTTAGGAATTTAATTTAATTTAATTTAATTCTTCGTTTTTATTGTTGATTTGCGTTTCTATGGCAAAAAGCAAAGCTTAACAAAAATCGGTTGGAAAACAAAAAAATGCTATACCACCCAAATACATAATATCTATGTTAAACCAACGAATTCATCGATAAAAAAAACTTTTCTACGTTAATTTTAATAATGATATTTAGGTAGCAATGAAACACATTTAAACTTATTTGTTTATAACTTTTCATTTCTTTTGGTTACCAAAATGATGGTACTGCATAGTGCATAATGTTATCACAATCTGTAGTTACCGCGGTATAACGCTATTGTTACAGTTCATCAATAATTTTAGATTCTGGATAACGGAACGATGAATGTACCTATTGATTTTACAATGATGTGTGTGTTATCACTTTTTTGAGCAGTAAAGATGCTTTGAAACTCTACTTCAGCATATTTTCTGGTAGAAAAGTGGGTAAAAGTAGTTTTCAAAAGCGCCGGGAAAACCAAAATAAAATGTAAGAAAAACGGAGATTTTTACGCAAAACCAGTTGTCACATTTAGTTTGTTTGATTTGACTCAAAAATAATAATTGTAGGTACTCTAAATTTTCACTAGGTAAATGTCCTTATGACAACTTTCTATATATGATAGAATTTTCCATTCAGTTTAACTCTTTTTGAGCTA